TTTTTAAAAAATACTATTTCTGTAAGGGAAGATGACTCCAAATGACGCCGTAATAACGTTTTAATGATGTCTATAATGTCAAAGAAATTGATATGTCAATTGATGTCACCATTCTATTTAGAATATGATATATTGCTATAATTTAACTATAATATTGCAAATATATAAGTGTAATATTTCAATGATATAAATGTGTAATATTTCAATGATATAAGTATGTAATACTGCAGTAATATTTCTGTAATATTTCAATGATATATGTAAAAGTGCAATATTTCAGTAATATTTCTGTAATATTTCACTGTGATATGTAATATTACCACTATATTGCAATATCACTGCAATATTTCTGCAATATTACGTGCTGTGTGGGTCAGCAAACATTGTGATATTTATGAGTAATTTCTAAATATAAAAATACGAAATTCTAAATATAAAAATATAAAAATACGAATAGTTTTTATATAAAAAAATGTGTCTGAAATATTTCCCATATATTTTTGAAACATTTCAATAATATTTCAGATACATTTCAGATAGTATATGATAGCGCGGACATTTCATGTATCTGAAAGATATCTAAAACAGGTCTGAAATATTTCTTTGAAATGTTTTATATTTCTTTAAAAGCTTTTTGAAAACTTTCTGAAATATGTTGGTGCTGTGTGGGTTCTATTTTTATAGAGTGAATTCCTTTACTCTATATCGTGGAGTGAAAATTTTCACTCTGTCATGGAGTACATTTTCGCTTGACAAATGGAATGACGACCGTCACTTGAGTTAGGGTGACTTTTCACTCGTATGGAATGAATTTTTAACTCGTGAAAGAGTGAAAATTTGGAAACAACTTATATAATAAGGATCTTATAACGTAATTGAACCAAAACTAACAATAATAACAAAAATAATAATAATGTAATAATAATTATAATAACAATAATAATAATCATAACAAGCATAGAGCTGTCACGAGATAAACAAACAAATAAAACGAAAAATAATTAAATAGATTTTCCTTTTTAATGATTAGACATGTGGAAACACCGACACGTGTTGCGCTTCGGTAGCGCTCGCAGTTTTAAGCCCATTCTACAATTGCGTAAGCGTAGTCGTGAACGTAAGAGTCAACCAATCCGAATGTTTTATTCACTGATTGCTTTACTCTGATAGGTTGTCGTAATCACTTACAACCACTTACAACCACGTTCACGCAATTGTAGAATGGGCTTTATTGACGAAATCTAAATACATATATATATATATAGTCGTTCGTTCACTTACTCAGATGTCAACACATCGGTGCAGCTGATAGTCTTTGTGATGTCGCAAAACGCCGTGTAAAACGGATCCCGTTCCTTTGCGAGTTCTACAGTGAAGGAGTATATTGATAATGTTAAACCGGCTATGCACACTATCGCGATTCGCCAATTGATCTTGCTAAGCATTGGATCTGCTACGTGCATGTTGAATGGAGAATGTAGCTACGTCACTGAACGTTACCGATCGATGGAAGTAACCGTTAGCGCAATGCACACTCGTTGACTGCGCGACAATGTAATACTCGATACGACCAGTCGGCGATCTTTCATGTGTTGCTCTGACGATGACGACGTCATGCGCAATTTCGAGGACACGTTTCAATGAACGCATGCGCTGTTAACGCCGTATCGATAACATCAACAATTTTTGACCATTCTATTTTCCCACAGGATTGCGAATAATCATTTTCGACGTATTTTTGACCGCTAAACACGAATCTATTATCCAAATTTGTATATTACTTCACAATTTTGCGAACAAATAAGATAAGAAAGACGATAACGATTTTAAGAGATTTTATGATAGCAACGGCAGAAAAAATATCCAGCAAACACAATACTATTACGTCGTAATGTAACGAATATGTAATGTGCAATATAACATGCGCGTTATATATAACATACACGTTAGTTATGATTTACCAATAATTAGTTATATAACAGAAATATAACCCGTAAATAACATGTGACTAAAAGGTTATGTAACTGTTAGAAGTTTTCTACAATAAATATAAGCAATAAGAAAGTTGACCAATCACAATCGTTTAAATCATCAAATAATCCACTATGATTGGTGAATTTATTTATTGCTTACACTTATTGCCTATTATAGAAGATATATATATATATATATATATATATATATATATATATATATATATATATATATATCGTTATCGAACAACGTTGTTCAAGATCATATCAATTTTTCTGTGTAATACTTCTCTTAAAACTTTACAACTTTTATATAAAACATTTTTTTCGAAAATGCGTTTTTCCCGAAATATTAAGAGAAATACAAGAGATTTCAACCCTTTTTATACATCTCTACAAAACTCTGTATTTACTAAACCATAAAAAGTAGAAAAAAATTTTATTTACATTGCATATATGTGTGTGTATTCTAGTCATGCTCTTCTTTCACCTTCTACTTGATTGATCTTGTTTTATCAATATACCTTGCATATGTTAATGTAATGTATTTTACGTACGTGAAACAGACATCATCTCTCTCTCTCTAAAAGATAATCCATCATATATAAAATCATCATATATAACATCATATATAAAAATATTATATAACATAAACGTAACGCACTGCACTTGTTATATAACATTTTATATTTAAGTTATTTTGCTGTCATATTATTATAATAAATAAATAACAAAGCAATATAACAGTTTTAAAACAATTATTACAGTTATAAAAGAAAATTAAGTAACCTTAATATTAATAAACGTTATATAACGTGCTACCTCTATATAATAGCTATATAATAGCTATATTCTCCCAGCTAGCAGTGACGTCTAAAGACATCATTAAGACGTCATTAAGACGTCTATGACATCTTAATGACGTCTTTAGACGTCACCTTGCTATCTGGGCTGTGATTGTTGAAATTTTTCTGAATTTTATTAATAACATCAAAGTATAAAATTTAAGTCATGAAATGTCTTTTTTCATTTTCGTATGATTTTTTGTTTGAGAAGTAAAGTTATCTAAGAATAGTCCTTTTTCCATAATAAACGAAAATGTCATTTAATTCTGCTTAACATTCTACATAGTATAAAAAATGTATTTTGTACTTACATAATATAATCCAAAAGTACTAAATAAAAGAACAGCGATTTCAAATGCGCATTCGCGTTTTTTTTATAATTTAGTTTTTTTTATTTTTATAATTTTATTATGTTGTCCATATTATATATATTGATAAACGCATATGTGAAATTGTTAAGTTTACTATTTTTTTTTACTTAGTATTCTCCGACTATATTATATAAATACAAAAAGCACTTTCATTTCACATAAAGTATTAAAATAAAATATTTTTTTCATTTATTATATGCAAATTTGTTTACGTGTAAACGTAACGAATTTGTTTATCGGCTAAAAATATGTTGAAAATGATTATTCATATTTATATGGCAAAATAGCATCGGACTGTGTAATTAGGATATTATGAAACGTCCTCTGTATAACGCGGTGTCTAATCGATCATTCTGCACACTTATCGATGCGGAAAATAAGAGGAGGCGGAGTGACAGGGGCAGAATACATTTGCATAAGATTTGCAAGAATGATTATTTTTTTGGAATTCTTAAGTTTCATTTTGAGCAACCCTTACTGAGTCAGAGTCTTTTATTCTTTCTTTAAGATTTGTACATTACTTCATAAGTCTTAAATAAGCTTACCTACGTGTACTGTAATATTAAAGGTCTTATACATGGATAAGAAACTAATAAAGCCCGACAAGAAGTTGACTCTATCTTTTTCATCTCCCGTGCGCATCTCTGTTCGACAAAGTAATATCAGAATCGTATACAAATCACAGATCAAACATCAAAACTAAATCAGAAAAAAGAAAAAAATTGATATCTGTCTTAAATCATCAATATTATAAGGTTCATATAATAGCTCTTAATATCCCAGCAAACGAAATGTCGTATCACTGGCGTGATTAAAAATGTATTAATGACGTCTACGATGTCATTATGTTTGCTGGGATATCAATAATAAAAAAATATGCGCGCATGAGAGAATGATGGTGTCACGTGGTGACATCGCAATCTGTCGGTACGTATTCTACTTTGGAATTTCAAGAATTGTATTTATATGACACATATCTGGTAAATAAAAACTTCAAGGACGTAAAATTAACTAGTTACAACATATTGTGATTTTATACTCTTAAAAAAGATTAATTATAGAGAGGGGCAATGGATCAGCTTGGGAAAATGTTACTTAATATTATTTATTGAATTGTTTACGCAACTACGATACAATAAATAATATGAGTTAACATATTATTTATTGAACAGCAATTGTGCGTAACATGTTTCTCTTGAGTTTAATTGGGTGTGTTCCTGCACTTACTCTTGTGGAGCCATTGCCCTAGCTTGAGCTTTAACGCGCTTTTCATATTCCAGACGATTCTGACTGTAGATAAAAATATATAATAGTCACTGTTAAAGTATCGACATATTTTCTTGTTTGAATCTATACACTGAGAGAAAAATCTAGAAAACAGTAAATATTTATTTGGTGAGTATTAACAGTATATTTACCTATACTAATATATAAAATATATTTCAAATATTTCCCTAAAATTAAAAAGATCTTAGTTTTTCATGAAAGTAATTATTTATTCTATTTAAATAAAAGAATTTAGATTCAAGTAAATATGCTGTTAGTATATTTCTCCCCTATCAAATATTTACTAATTTCTGGAAACTTTTTCTCTCAGTATAGGAACGTGTGTGCCTTACCAGTATATTGTATAAGCTTCAGCTTGAGCTGGATCTTTTACATTGGGTTCGTTCAACAAATCCTGAATGCCAAGGAGAATCTGCTTGATTGTGATTGCTGGTCGCCAATCTTTTTCTTCATCCAGTAGTGATAAGCAAACCGTACCAGATGGATAAACATTGGGATGAAACAATGGTGGTTCAAATTTACATTTTGGTGGGCTTGATGGATAATCGTCTTTGAAAATCATTCTTAGTTTGTACAATCCACCTTCCCAAGGAGTCTACAAAATGGCAATCACTAAATTAATAGAAATGTATATGATCATATAGTATAATTAGTTTTGCACAAAGTAACTCACAGATTTTTTTCCAGGTATTGCACATTCCCAACTCATCAAATTGAGGGAACCATCTGGATTCTTGGTGGGTCTAGCTACAAAGCCCTGTGATCAATGAAGTTCTTTGTAAGTTTTTATAGCAAAATTCAAGGATTACAAGACTTTATAGAAATACAAGAATCGATACTGATATAATATTTTTCAGAGCCAGAAGAGATTATGGTATAATTATAGTTGTTCTCTTTCAGTCGAAGCTTTCACACAATGCAATTACAGAGTTGAATTTTATTATACAGGATGAATCCAAGCTATATACAAATAATTAAGTTTTTGTAAATATCGATTAATGTTTTATTAAAATATCAATCAAAATCTTGTTGCAGATAGGGTTAGAAAAGAGATTACTGAATTATGTATAATCAATCAGATAAAATACCATATCAGCAGATTGCTTTTGACATTCGATCCATTGTTTATGGTCGGCGGGAAATAGCGTGCTTGTTAGCGGCACATAGCCTCTATTAGACCGCGATTAATCGTGACGCGGGTTTTATGCGCGCGAAAAATCAGATAATCTTCATCCCAACGATTTGGCTACACTAGATATGCTGAGAAGTAGAAACTTACAAACGGATGATCCTTTCTCCATGCCTTTCGCTCCTCAGCGAGCCTGGCGATTGCTATGCCTGACATCAGTGCTCGACGATACAACGATCTTCCGATGGAAAAAGCTCACGGCCGGATGATGTGCAACGATACCCCACGTTCTTATACAGCACGATACACAATATGATATTGCTGGTTCTTGCAAGTAAATTTGAATATTGCCAGACACTGTTTACCGCTGGAAATTTCATTAAACGCTCTAGTCGCGGCGCGAAGGTGCAGCCGAAAGATCAGCCAGTGGATATACGCTGAACGTGTTCATGAAAGCTACAGAAATCGCTCACGATTGTGTGTTAGAATCATATAAACCGACTTTTTTTGGAAAAATATCTAGCCGTTGATGGCTCCAATAAGATTTTGCGATCTAGGGATAAATTAAAATCCCTAGTAAATTGCGCTAAATTTGTCCAATATGAGGTCTGTTCTTTTTAGATCCAGTTATTCAAACTTCTTGATAAATTAACTGATAGTTAAATTATACGTTTGCCTTTATTTAAATTAAAGAAAAAACAGACAGACATATAATTTAACTATCAGTTAACTTAGAAAAAAAAGTTAGAATGCGTTCCCACTTAGCGCGTCACATGTTGCCTCGTCTGCCTGCGTCACTAGTTAACCAATCAAATCCTTTAATTGGGATGACGCGCGCGCGACACACTTGTTCCAACGGAAGGATTTGATTGGAACAAGTCATCCCAATTGAAGAATTTGATTGGTTGACTTGTGATGCAGCAGACAACGCGACACGTGACGCGCTCAGTGGGAACTCAGCCTTAGTCCCGACCTACAATAAGTGTAGTAAGCTTTAAGCCTTAAAAAATTTATCGATCACAGTCGATTATTTTCCTTACATTTGATTGGGATTGGTCAATTTCTTAAAGCTTACGGCTTAAATCACCTACTGTAGATCGGGACTTAGAATAACCGATCCTTAAAGTCTGATTTCACCAACGTTGATTGGGCTTTGATCTGAGTGGTTAGGCGACAATTTCCCGAAAGTGGAGGGGATAATGTTGGTACCAAGGAAAATCTCTACACGATAATAATTTGAAGGTTTGTTCTTTGTAACTAGTACAGAAAGTTAGAGTGAGAAACCGTATACTTGTCTCACTTAAATTTATTACACCAATTCAGCAGTGCAGTTATAATGAACATGCTTTTAAGGTCGATATTCATAGTTCGATCTTATATTTAAAGTCATCTTAAGTACTGTTTTAAGATGTCATGAACCAATCACAGAGGCGTATTTGCATCTTAAGACGGTTTTAAAATAAGATTCGACTATGATCGGCCCAAATTATATCGAGTAATGCAGAATTCAGGCCTGGAACACAATACGTCGTATTTCGGAGTTGGATATAGAGCAGGGACATTGATAAAAAAATAATCGATTATGACTCTAGTAACTTAATTGGAGCGCAGCGATTATCGGCAAGTCCCGATCTACAATAGTGTAATAAGTTTTAAGCCGTAAGAAATTAAACAATCACAATTAATTATTTCTCTATAATTCCACTGATTGGTCAATTTCTTAAGGCTTAAAGCTCACTACACCTATTATAGATCGGGACTAATCCGCTATATCGAACGAAATAATCGATTCTAATAAGAATTGAATACACTATCACTGCATTTCCTTAAGTATATGTGTGCTTATATATTTATAGTTTACGTGACATATATTATAGATGAATAAATGCATATACTGTTTGCGGAAAAAACTTTTTCACACTAGATCCAATTAATTTTTGGCTGTTTACGATAATTCGAGTTGGATTAAGTACGAGTTAGTTTCACTAGGGCCGAGAAATATGATAGGCACAAGCATCTAGTATTTTCAAGATTTATGACAACTCAATGCTGTCCGATAAATCGAGTAGAGTAGAGTAGAGTTAGGGTAGTATAGCGGATAGTATATGTATAAGAATTAACAGTATCAGATAACATAGTTTCGTAAAATATGTAACAATAATATTACAAAACAATTATTTATTATATTTTAGAAAAATTAGAAGCACTAAATTAAATTATGAAAATGATATTAATTTAATGTATTTGTGAAATATTCAATAATAATAGGTTAGAATAATTGTTTTCTACTTTTGGATATTTCACAAATACATGATACCTTTTCATAATTTAATTTAGTGCTTCTAATTTTTCTAAAATGCAACAACTCATTGTTTAGTAATATTATTGTTATATATTTTACGAAACTATGTTACCTGATACTGTTAATTTTTATACATATACTATCCACTATGTTACCCTAACTCTACTCTACTCTACTCTACTCGATTTATCGGACAGCATTGAGTTGTCATGAATCATGAAAATACTAGATGCTTGTGACTATCATATTTTTCAGCCCTAGTGAAACTAATTCGTACTAACTCCAACTCGAATTATCGTAAACACCCATTATAAACATAAAAACAAGTTGGATCTAGTGAAATTCAGTGATATACTAGAAATATACCAATCAGAATAAAATATTTCTAGTATGTCACTGAATCTCATCAAATTTTAAAAACAAACACTGTGTGCCATTGGTTTAAGCGCTTAATTAGTTCCTTTGCTGTTGAATGCACACTACATTCACCCACTTGCTGTTCTTGATGGGGTGTATCCCGTTTGACCACGGTGCGATTGAACACGGTTCAATTGGACACGCTTGATTGGACACCGTGCAATTGACACTGTTCGATTAGACACCTTGTGATTGGACACCATTCGATTGGACACCGCCTGATTGAACACCACAGAATTGGCACATTACTCGATTGGACACCATAAAATTGACAGATTGCTCGATTGGACATCATACAATTAGACATCGCATAATTGACACACTGTACGATTGGACACGGTAAAATTGACACACTGATCGATTGGACACCGTGCGATTGGACACCGTTTGATTGGACATCGTTCGGTTGGACACCGGTCGAATGGACATCGCTCGATTGGACACCATGCGATTGGACACCGCTCAATTGGACTCCGTGCGATTGGACACCGCGCGTTTGGATTCCAAATTGGCACACTGCACAATTGGACACCGCACAATTCAAATTTATTGACTATCGCGTCGTTCCTTATCGATTATTGCGCCTCAAAATTATAAACAAAAGAAGTTTCGCAAATATGGTATAGTTTCTTCACACTATACATATAAAATATATATTTAAGAAATTTTATAAAAAAATATGTATTTTTTAAAAAATGAGAACTAGCACAAACGAGGCCCTCCCCTCGCTCCGGTGCGATGTGTCTAAGGAACGAAGCCCTCCAGTGACGCGGCTAGAGATATATATATCGTCGGTGTGACAGATTTCTTAACTTAGCGCGCCGTCAATTTTGTCGGCTAATATCTCGCGCACGATTGGAATCGTGTTCAAATGCGCTGTTTGGAATTCGAGTATATTAAGCCGGGAGCGATGCACTTGGACACGGTGCATTTGGATACAGCCAATCACAGCACCGTATGATTAGAGACATTGGTAGGGTCCCTTGGAACAGCGACTTGTGATTGGACTGTGTCCAATTGCCCCGTGTCCAACTGATATACACCCTATTAAGCCATCGGCACTTGTTTTCGTGCCGGATGGAAATACTGCCTTCTGATTGGCGTATTTCCGAAAATGGATGAAAATGCACCAATCAGGACGCAGTATTTCTATTCAACAAATAATCTGATACAAAAACAAGCATTGTGTGCCGCTGGATTTAAATGTAAAAGAATATATAAATTAGATTTAAGAATTCATTAACTATAGTAGTAGTTAAGTTAAATATAAGATCCAACTATCAATACTGGCCTATGACTGGATAGCCAATCAAGTTACACCTTTCTGTTAGAACGATAGAAGTCAATAATCGGTTTAAAAGTAGATAGATAGGTAAGATAGATTCTCGCCATAATCGAGTTGTCAAACAATCGATTACAAAATGTTTATATATCGAAAAGAAATAATCGATTATAACTATAATCGGTATCGGTATTGTCCATCTCTTGGATGCGAAGCACATCCGATAGTCCAATGAGGAGACTCATTCTTGAAAAATTAATTCTCTCATTGGACCATCGGCTGCGTTCCGTTGGATCTAGTAAAATTCAATGATATACTAAAAATATACAAATTAGAATAAAGCATTTTTAATATATATGTTATTAAATCTCATCAGATTCAACGTAAAGACAAATGTCGTGTGCCGTCGGTTTAAGCGTTTACTTAGTTCCTTTGCTGTTAAAGACTATTGAGTAAAGACTGGACATTCGGGGATTTCGCGTGATTGGTGCACGTAACTTGTGTTCACTAAATGGCACGGCCAACGTAAGTTTAAAGTGAGACAATGGGTGTTTATGACAATTAGAGTTAGTTCCACTAGGGTCGAAAATTATGATAGACACGACCACCCAGTACTTTTGTAGCTTATGACAACTTCTTATGATTTCTGCACACAGAACGCGGTAATGTTTGCCGCGCGGCGGAAGTTCGCGCGACAGCCAATCAATATGCTGCCTTCCGTAATAACCTTCTAGCTAGAGATGGGAGATGTTTAGAAAACATCGATGTTCGCTCATTGAGGATAGTATACATGTAGAGAAAATGTTAGGGTCTCTAGAAATTCTCTATCCGACAGTCAATCGGTGCACAACTCTTTACATGTAATACTATCCTCAATGAACGAACGTCGATGTTTTCTAAACATCGCCTATCCCTACTTCTAGCTCCTACGGAAAAAGCAGGCGTTGCCGCGTTCTGTGTGCAGAAGCCATAAGAAGTTGTCATAAGCTACAAAAGTACTGGGTGGTCGTGCCTATTATAATTTTCGACCCTAGTGGAACTAACTCTAATTGTCGTAACCACCCATCGTCTCACTTTAAACTTAAGTGCAGAAGCCATAACTCAATGCCTTAAGGGATGTCTACATTGGAAGTAAGCAGTAAGAAGTAGGAAGTAAGAATAAGAAACTGACCAATCATAGTTGATTATTCTTCTCACATTCGACTGTGGTTGGTCAATTTCTTACTCTTACTTCCTACTTCTTGCTATTTACTTCCAATGTAGACGTCTCTTCACTATAGGAACAAGTTGGAGTAAGAAGTAAAGAACGCGCATTCGACATGAGGTAATAATTTCGTAAAATCTCACGATTATATCCATTAAAAATTATTTACTAATCAATAAATGGTATTAATATTAATATTAATATTAATCAATAATAATTATTAATATTAATTAATAAATAATTTTTATTATTATTAAT